GTCAAAAAAATAGGTGACACATGGCATCCTCTCATGACTTGGGTTTAGAAAAACCTTAAAATATTATATAAGATGTTAAAAGATATGTATTGTTAAAACATTTTATAAATTTGTAACGGACGAAGTAAGTGTCATTAGAGTGACATCCTCTAATATAATTCCGAATAAGAACATTTACCCATTTATCGGAGAAGAAATTAAGGATCGATCTGGTCTTTTATTCAGTCATTCTTGTATTTAGGTAAACGCCCACATATTCTTAAGTACGTGAGAGGAAACCTAAAGAACATTATTAGGGTTCATGACTGGTGACTTTTCATTCAAACAACATCCTCAAAACCAAGTCGAGCACTGTCGCAAACAGCTTCGTTCTCTTCATTCTTCAGCTCACCTTCAAGCTCAAGCAACACCTGTCTCTGTTCCACGATCATTCGGTCGAGATCTCTCATGCGAGCCCCACGTGCTTCCATTTTCTTCTTCTTCACGCAAAGCTCCTCTAGCTTCGTTTTTAACCAATCCAAATTGAAACCTACCTCTAACAGTTCGAAAAGCGTGTTCTCTGCGTCTCTTATTTCCTCCACTGTGAGCTCCTGAGGAGCTAAGCAAATCGTGGCGATGAGGTCGAGGAGGTTGTTCATGTAAGCATTCTTCACCAATTGGTTCTTCGGACGAAAATTCAATGCGGTTTCTGGGTGTTTTTCAAAGATTCTTCTCACACACTCTACCTGAAAACAAGATTGATGTAATAACCACAAACCAAATAGATGATTGTTAAAATGAAATAATTTTGTGTGTTTTACCTCTGAATAGAAAACTCGAAAGCCATTGACGTCCACGGTTCCATCACCGTTCCACATTGTTACGATTTGAGTTTCTTGTGATACAGGGAAGCTTTACTTGCAGTTAAGGCAAAGAGAGAGTTTTGTGTTTTGAGGAGTTTCTTCCAGTAACTGAAATATATAAAAGAAGAGATGCGTGAATCTTAAAAGAAACGTAACTTAATAATACTATGTACATAATTAAATAACATATGAATATTAATGGCGTCACACGTCAAGCTACTCGTTTGGCCAAAGACTCTTTACTCTGTTCAGACACCCAAAAACATTTGCTTTTCCATCAAGAAACATAGTGCAATTAAGGAATCTTAAAGAATCTTAACAACTACAAACTGACATATGAGTCTATTTTAGCTTCTTAAGTTAAAGGAGAGGACTCTAACTCTAATTAACGAAAAGAGACCAGAAGAAGAAAAAAAAACAGAACCAAAATCCAAGCCCTAAGAACACAAGTCACCAAAAAAATCACTGAAAGAGTGATCAGGAGCTGTGGCTTCCAAAATCTCTGCCTTTTCCTTATTAAGCTGAGTTTCTAGGTCTTTGCACTTCTGCTTTAAGTCATGCAACTGTTGCTCCATTTCACGCGCCCCGGGCACATTTTTTCTTCTTTTCTTTTACTTGATCAAGTTTCTTCTCCAACCAATCGAACTTAAACCCTACAATTTTCATGTATGCCAAAGCAGCTTCTGCATCATACAAATCATCCGTGGAGGGGTACTGAGGCCATTTGACAAGCATCTTGATTACGCTGAGGAGGAGATTCATGTATGACGTTCTCAGATCTTTGTTCTTTGTACGGATTTCTAATGCAATCTCTGGGTGTTTTTCAAAGACACGCCTCGCAAAATCCACCTGCCAGTGAAAAAAGGAAGACTTAAGAAAAATCCATGTCTATGCATAACCAACCATATTACTTCTCTTTATTTTAGAAGTGTTTTACTGTTAAATCAGAAGTAATTTCAAGAAAGAAAACCAAAACAAAAAGCAGCTGATGTAATGTCTCTTGAGGTTGAAAATTCTTTAAAAGTTAAAATAAAATTTGCATATTTCTTGAACCTGTGAAGAAAGAACTTGAAACCCATTGACATCCACCCAACTTGTTGGAGTTTCCTTAAGCAAATCACTAGACACCGCAATATTATCATCATTCAACTTTAAATTTTCCAGAGGTTGGATTGCCTCCTCAGCCTCTTCTGGTACATCTAATTTGCCAATAACATCAAGAACATCTACCTCCGCAACAATCTTGATTTGATCGTTCATTAAAAACCCAGCTTTTTTGGCATGAAGTCTGCCAAGGGGAAACGTGAATGTAAAACCCAAGTCTGGTTCCTTCTCGTGAAACCACACTTGTTTTCCTACGAAAGATAGAAACTCTAGTCAAAACAAGCATTTGCACACAACACATAAATAGAATCTCGTAGCAGCAACAAGTCCCACGATTAAAAGAGAACAAAAAAAAAGATTCAAAAATCAAAAACATAGAAAGAAAATAACCTTTCACTCGTGAGTACGACTCCATAAATTGATTTACTATAGTTATCGAGAATTCTACGTTCCTTCTCCATCCCGAAGGCAAAGATTCAAAATCAGTTACTTCGAGATACAGAGACAAGTTATTATCCTTATAAAATCCTTTGGGAAAGGCCACAAGACGCCTGCAAGCCAAAACCACATAAAAGAAATGAATGTGTCACATTTAAACTTAAAATTGCGCTAAAAGATTAGAACATAAGTTTTATCATCTTACCATCTGCAGCCACCGATCACAAATGGATCAGAATAGATTTTTTCAGATTGGAAAGAGTAAAAATTATTTATCACCCAAGTGAACTTGTTATCAACTTGATTCCCCATTGAAGACGCTTCCCAAACGAGCTACTAAAACAAGAAAGAGAAATCAAAACCCTAGAACCCGAGGTTGCACACATCAAAATTCACAAATCGAACTTTAATACAAAAACAATCTCGAGTAACCAAACCAAAAATAAAGATTTACAAGTTAACTATGGAATTCGAAGCGCAACACTCTTAAACCTCAATTGTTAAAAGTTGTGATGCTCGACAATCGATATAACGGAACTAACATGGTCAAGGAAAAAAAAAAGACTAGAAAGATCAATGGTTCATCAGGATTTACCAGGAATTAGAACGAGACTGGTTTCGAGTATTCACACGAGGAATGAAGGTATTATAGGGTTTTATTGTGGGGTGCTTTGCACCGCTCTTATTAAAAAAAAAAAAAAAGGCTCAGTGATTTACTGATTTAAAGGGATTTGACTATATCAAAATATATATCTTTTTATCCATCTGTTAATTGTTTGGTTTAGCAGTCAATTGTTTTAATCCCCCGTTAAAAAGAATTTTAAAATGAATAATAGGCGTTCTTTAGACC